CTCTGACATCTCCCCATCTCACAACCCCCAGTCCCAACAAACATAATGTCTCTTTCTTTGCACATGTTCCTTGGGCATTTGAACTGCCATGTCACTACTGTTACTTGCTCACATTTCACTAGAATTATTTGTGAGGACGTCCATATCCCCTAAGAAATCATGGGCTTCTTGTGGCCTTTCCATTTCTAAATCCCCAGGGCCAAGCACAGTGCTTGGAAAATATTTGTTAATCGATATTTATGTTAAATATTAAGATAAGAAATATAAGTTATTGAACTATATGCACAGTATGGTGACCAGCTCACCCAGTTTGTTTAGAACTATTCTGGTATTAAAACAGAAGGCCTTGTGTCACAGGAAACTCCTAAGTCCCAGGCAAACTGGGCTGGCTGGTCACCTTGATGTACACACTTATGTACATATAGACACATGGACACACACTACAGAAATAGGCCTTAGCCAGAGCTGGGGCCTCACCCTTCTAGGAAGATGGTACATATGGCAGACTGACTGTCCACCCATCTGGGCACTGAGGACTGTGCCGGGGTTGTTAATGTTCTATTAATAGTAATTTCCACCTGGTGGGCAGGCAGGCACTGGCTGGAATCTCCAGGGCAGCTGAGAAGGGGCAGAAAGGTATAAATCTCCCCAGAGAGAATGACACAGGTGAGCTGGTGGCTGTTTCCGATGGGATCCTGATGGCACCCATACCCCAGGGAAGTGGGGTCAGCAGGAATTGGATGAGCAGGGACGCCTCCCTCTGGGGGCCATGTCACTGGAGAAGCTGTTTGCCAGTTTCCATCCATCATGTCATTAATGCCCAGAAAAGAGCCTTTCACCAGCACAAGTCTACTCACCATTCTGTTGCTTTTCTCCTGCTGACTTCTCAGCTTTGGGATTTTTCCCGCGAGGGTTGTCACTTTTGTTTGTGCGCGTTCCATTGACTTGATTCTTAGCTTCTCCAGATGTCTTTTTCTCAGCCTTGCCAGATGTGCCTTCTTCAGCCTGGCTTTTGGCTTCCAGTTCCTTCTGCTGCTCCTCTGCGGCCAGGCGAGCCTTTTCCTCTGCTTCCTTCTTGGCCTTCTCCTCTGCATCCATGGCAGGTCAGGAAAGGTGCAGCAAAGAGAAAAAGAGGCCATGCCATTAGGAGAATTACCTCTCTGAATGCACTAAGGGGACCTAAGGTGTTTATTGAGTATTTGGGTATACTTTTGGTTAATTCAAGTCAGACTGGCATGTATTAATATATTTAGGAAACCAACAAAATAGGTTCATGATGATGCCATTTCTGAAAATCATAAGTTAGAGGAGGAGGCAGGGAGAAAATAAAAATAAGGATAATAATAAATGAATATTGTAATGGTATTATTTATATTATAATTATCGATAGCTTCCATGGCATGTGTCCTCTGTGACAGGTAATATGCTAAGTGCTGTTCAAGGATGATTTTTTTTTCATCCTCAGAACAACCTTCGAGCAGCTACTATTACTGTGACCCTATTTGACAAATGTGAAAATCGAGGCTCAGAGACATTACAAAAAGTTTCCCACAGCCACAGAAGAAATTGGAGTTTCATGAAGGTTTGCTTAACACCTAGAGTTTAAACATAAATAACTGATAACAAAACAAAAAGTCAGAAACAATCATCACCACTAGAAATATACACACTCAGGACACTGTGAATTTAAAAGTAGGAAGAGGATATTTAAGCCTTATGAAAAAAACATGGTCCTCAAACTGTGCACAAGATGAGAGGTGGCCTTTAGTTTGGTCAGGTGCCTGGTCTGTGTCCTCCCTTTTCATGAGATGTCACCATTATTTCCAATTTGGCAGATTATAAAAGTGCCTGGCTCTGAGCTTAATCAAAAACCCAGCCTAACTGCATAGGTCAAGTGCTTATGTAAAGACTGGTTAGTTCGCCCAACTCATATTTATCGAGCAGCTATAGTGTCCAGGACTGATGCAGGTACTGGGAATACAGCACTAAGTGAGATAAACATATGGAAAAGACCATAATTAAGTAAACAAATGAGTAAGATCATTTCAGATTGTGAGAAGTGCTTTGCAAAACACTTAAGCAGAGTAATATGATGGAACACAGGGGAGGGAGATGGCATTAGAGAAGGAAGCAGAGAAGGCTTTCTTGAGAAGGTGATATGTGACCAGGTCCTGAACAATGAAGAACAGGCTGTGTAATAATCAGAAGAAACAGCATTTCAGGCGGAGGAACTAGACAATGCAAAGATCAAGAGGCAGGAATGAGCTTGGTAAATTTAAAGGACAATAAGTTAGCCAGTGTGGCTAAAGGAAATTTGGCAAGGGATTAGTGCCGCCAGATGATCTCTTTGAATGACCAAGGAAAGGTGGGGTTCAGATCCTGCAGGGCCTTGGTGGCAACAAGGGGGAGCTGGGTTGCAGAGAGTAACCCTCAGAGAAGGCACCCAACAGAGACCAGTCCTGCCTAAGTTCTAGAGACTCACCCCATCTAGCTTTCAATTCACTCAAAAGGCCTTCCAGCCTGTGCCAGCAACCTCCACTGGGAAAAGCATTACTGTATGTTCCTCTACATGTGCTAAACATGTCTGTCTTAGTCAGTATTGTGTTGCTCTAAGAAACTGGGTAATTTATAAAGAGAAGAGGTTTATTTGGCTCTCAGTTCTGTATAAGAAGCATGGCGCCAGCATATAGGCCTCAGGTAGTCACTATTCATGACAGGTAATGAAGGGGGAGCAGGCGTGTCATATGATGAGAGTGGGGAGCAAGAGAGAGAGGAGGGGGTGCCCAAGCTCTTTTAAACAATCAGCTTTTGCAAGAACTAAGAGAGTGAGAACTCACTCATTACTGTGGGAAGGCACCAAGCCATCATGAGGGATCTGTCCGCCTGACCCAAACGCCTCCCACTTGGCCCCACTTCTAACATTAGAGATCAAATTTCAACATGAGATTTGGAGGGGACAAACATCCAAACTACATCAATGTCCCACACCTTATTATCAGGGCTCCACTTTATTTCCCTTGTCCTGGTCCTGAAAAAAAGCCAGCTGTCATAGATAATGCGTTTAATGTAATCTAATGGACACCAGAGTGCTTATGCACCTGATCACATTTCCTTTTGTTTTAGCTGCTAAAGAGCCCAAAGGCCAAATTTGGTCCAGGTTCCCATGTTCACAAGGCTTTGTGGCATGTATTTTGTAGATGTCTCTGATGTCTGGCTTTATTCTACTTTTCCTACCCTTACATTTGCTTACCCAAGGTGTCCTCCTTAATATATTATGAAGTTTTCATCCATCCTTTCATTCACTGATCCATCCATCCATCCATCCATCCATCCATCCATCCATCCATCCATCCATCCAAACCAAATGCCCTGGCCTCACTCCAGACAAATCAAATAAGATTCTGGAGGGAGAAGGGCAAGAATAGGATGTTTTAAATGTTTTCCAAGTGATTCTAACATGAATTCAGGGTTGAGAATGACTGATTTAAATTTTAAATGTCTCTATTCAGTATTTCATGACTCTCTTCTTCCAAACAGGATATATTTATAATTTACATTGCAAAAGTAAGAAAAGATTTCTTTACAAATAACATAAGTATGTGCATGTTTAGTGTAATACGACTTCTACAGAAAGGGACAACCAAAGAGTGAAAGAATGGCCTTGCAGAAGATGGTGAGACAGCATCTTCAGGAGGGTTCAGGGCCATACTCAGAAGGCCCCCTAGAATGTTCACTCAGGCTTCCTCTCATCCTTCCTTAATGCTCCAAGGACAGGGTTCAAATGTGATCTCCATCCTGAATTCCCAGTGCGTGGCACAGTGACTGGACGATAGCATACACTGACGAAATATTTGTGGATCAAATGAAATGTACCCCATGAGTGTGATTTCCTCTAACTGCCAGTGTAACCCTATTGTACATATTCTATCTTCAGCAACCTTGGTTGGCATAATATAAAACGTATATAAATTCTCAAGTCTTATTCTGAAAGAGTTAGCCATTTGACAAATGTTAATTTCCTAGTTTCCTTAACCGCTAATGTAGGTGAGGAAAAAGATTACTGTTCTTACTACAGAGAGAGAAACTAAGGCAAGGGGGAGGAGGATTCATTCATGCTCAGAATCTGGTATCTATTCCAGAAAATAATTTATAACCCCTTCACACAATCCCCACTGAATCCATGGCAAACTTTCAATATTCAAAATATCCCCAAGTTGGAAATAAGCTTGATGAAAACTGAAGGTGTTATAGACCATAAAATATTATCTGAGCAATAAAAATTTGTTTGACAACTGAGTCAGACCAATTTTCCAGGGGAAATTTAGCAAAAAACACACAAAAAAACTGAGGGAGGAGTATACATTTCAGAAACACATATTGTTTTGCTCAACTGTAGCTATCAGGCAATTAATGTTTAAGTCAATGAATAGTATCTCAAACTAGATATGAGCCTGCCCCACTGTATGATTCCTTTCTCTGCAGCAATCATGTTTCAGGGGGTGGCCCTGCGATGTGTTCACCTTCTCTGTTGGACACCTATGTCTGCCTCATGTCTCTGAGATAGGTGATATTGGTGTGATCAGTCATACAGTACCCAAAGTGCTACTACTCAAAATGCATAGACAAACACCAGCAAGCACATAAATAAGAAAAATAAATAAATCAACGAGAGGTAGGTCTTTTCCACTACAACTAGATTCCCTCATATTTCGAGGATGAAATTATTAGTATAGATGACATTTGCCTACAATGAGAAAAATCAGGTGAGAACACCGTTAATGTGTGCATGCTAACGTGTTCCAGTGATGGCATGTCCACAGAGAATTAACCTTTCAGATCTTAGGTTTAGCATCCTTGCACTCCTAGGCCTCTAGATTAGTAGAAAGCAAACAACATGGTTCACCTCTCTTTCCTTGGCGTCTCATTGTAAACTATCTGTGGTGATGAGATTCATGAAAAGGGCCAATAGCAAGCAGCTAAATTACATTTCTTCCAGTGGAGAAACAGTTCTATCCCACACTGAATGTCTGTACAGTCCCAGAGAAATACACTCATTTATTCATTTAATTTGTCTTCCTGGTACAAGAGGCTCTTAGTTAAAAATAATATGGTCTAGTTAACCCTTGATATAATTTTCTGAAATGTCTACTTAAACTACCTACAAACAGAGGGAGAGAGAAACAGAATGGGAGAGAGAATGAGGAAAAATAGAGAGAGAAAGTGACTGAGAAAAAGCCAACCAAAATACTACATGAATTTTGAATAGTCACGTCTCAATTATATACAACAACAACAGAAAGGCATTTCTAGACATTTAAGAATTCAGAAGCTATTCCCACAGGAGGAATGTCCTGAAAATTTTAGTCAAAGAAGTGCTCCAGCCAAGGCATGCTGGCTCATGCCTGTAGTCCCAGCTACTCAGGAGGCTGGAGTAGGAGGATTGCTTGAGCCCAAGAATTCGAGGCTGCGGTGAGCTATAATTGTGCAGCTGCACACCAGTCTGCCAGTCTGGGTGACCGAGTGAGACCTTATCTCTTAAAAAAAAAAAAAAAGAAGTGCTCCAGCTGACAGTAAAAATCAATCAATATTAAAAACTCAAAAATGAGTAAAATATGTTAACATGTGCAATGAAACTAGGAAAGCTTAATGTTAGAGAAAAGTAATTACTGTTAAACTGGACTTAAAATGATGCAAATATTTTAAAAAATTTCAAGGATATGTTGATTATAAAATAACAATTAGTAATGATGAAGTGAGTAAAAATTCACTAAATTTCTCAGCATTTGCAAAGGTATATCACTATATACTATTTCATGTTTACATTTACAGAGGCTTGTAACTCAAAAAACATAAAGACAATTTCTAGTAAAATAAAAATAGGAAGTGTATAAAAAGACCATAAGCAAAGTTAAAGGCATACAACAAACTGGAGTGGGGTAGAAAATGCAAGATATTTTGACAACTGTGAAGAATTATCACTTCAATTTATAAAGAATTATCATGAATCAATAATAAGAATTTAAACAATCTAATGGGAAAAATGAAAAGGGAATAATGTAGAGAAATAGACACTCTGCTATACTTCTAACTAGGAGAGAAAACTGGTAAAAAAATGTCTTGAGAGAAATTTGAATATACATATCAAAGGCTTTAAAATTATCATCTGCTTTGACAAAGGAATGCCATATCTAGGAATTTATCCTAGATAAATAATCAGAAGTAGGCTCAAAGACTTTTTGAACTTGCACGTTCATAACATTATATGGAACAACAAAGAGCTGGAAACCTAAACACTCAGTTACAGAAGAAGGTTCAACTATGGTATTCTATACAACGTAGCCATTAAATCAGAATAGTCAGTATCAGCATAAAATACTCAAGACGGAAATGGAAAAGCAGAATACAAGACAATATTATATTATGATCCCAATTTACAGGGAAAAGTTTTACTTATACATAGGCATAGTAAAGCAAATTAAAAAGAAATTACATCAAATTTTAACAATAGTTATATATGGCTAGAGAGGTCATGCATAGTTTTTATTTTCTTTTGTATATATATTTTTATGTATATTTGTAATCTAAACATGTTATTATTATACCAGAAAATAAATGTTAAAAAACTACTAAATGCTGAATGGAAATTAATCAATCTTGATCAGAGTTGCAAATTGTTATACTCATGCACAGTTGGTTGAGAATAATGATTTTTAGCTCTAAGAACTATAAACAAAGACTGATTTAATCTTTCTTAATAACTATGGATTCTGGCCTATCTTTGTAAATCAGTTGGACAAGAAAACCATTTCTGATCAGTTTAATAACAATACATGTTCAAGCACCCCATGTTCCACTTTTCTTGAAATCAGGGTGTTCTGGAAAAAAAGAGTAATAAGCAAAATAGCCTGGGAGAATCCAGTGCAGACCAATAGAAAACACATATAGACTGGATTTCTTATTAGCAATGGGCAACAGGTCAACAGCATCACTGGGAGGCTGAGAATGTTATAAGATATTAGGTATAGGTTGGTATTTTTACCACCAGCTTCTTAACTTTGCATGCAAACCTCTAATCTTCTTTTCCAATTTGCATAAATAACCGCTACCATTTATTAGGCTCTAGCCATGTGCAGTCTCTGTTCTCAGTGCTTTATATGTATAATTTCTGTTACTCGGATCAACTCTGTGATATGCATCATCATCTCCAAAATGTCTCAAAGAACCTATCTGAGTTTGCCAAAGAACACCTTGCAGGTCAGGATTCAATTCTCCCTTTCCCCCACTAACTGAAATTTGCATTTATAACCAAATTGTCCTCCCAAAAATATCCATAACCCAGGTGCCACGCCTTGGTCCACCCCCTTTCTCCTTTTTTCCCATTTCTAAATGCAATACTCCTTCAGGTCTTAACCCCAGCTGTCCTTCAAGTTCTGCCACACAATACCTTCCCAAATCCCTGAGCAGTGTTAGGGGCAACTCCTTTTATGCTTCCAAAATAGCTTAGGCATACAGTATCTTTATCTGTATACCTAATACATTTAAAAATTATTAGCTGTTTATTTACCTGTCTTTGTTTTTAAGGGCCAGTTTTGCCCTAGAAAAGAAACCATCTAATGTTTCCCCCAGTGATTAGTTTCAGAAGGTAATTTTAGTAACCCAGATAATTGCAAACAAATTATTCTGAAGTACCTCTTTAAATTGCATGTTGTCAGGAATTGGATTTTCGAGTGTAATGAGCATAATTGATTACAAGGGAGTGCTTCTTTTGAGATGATGCAGTAGCTGCCATCTCTGCTTGCAACGTCTGCCAATGGGGAGGATTTAAATGTTTAAAGCATTTGAATGGACTGGGAGAAGGTACACTTAGAATGTGGAGAGGTGTTGGCTCTCTCCATAGCTCAGGGTACAACGTCTGTCCTGAAAGGATAAGGGTCTGATTATGCCCCGAAGCACCATAAACATAAATCCTTTGCCTCACCCGAAATGAGCAGTCACATGGACAGGATCCTGTGGGCAAGTCACAGTGCTTGGCCTTTGAATAATTCCAACAGTGAGGCTGCTTCTCTCCTACACCCCAATGTATGGGACCCAAGACCACTAGAACATGCTCTTCCCTAGCGTACCTGCCCTTCTTCTCACCTGGTGCGCTGCCACTGGGAGGATGAAGCTGTGGGAGGTTGTGTTCTGGCAGAGAACCCTTTTTGCCTGTTGTGAGAGTCCAGGACTCCGGCTGGTAGGTGCTGGTGACAGGTGCAAGGCCTTGACTGAACTCTCATTCTTCCTCTGAATGTAATGCTATAGCAATGTCCCTTCCCCTCCCCTGCCACAAGATGGTGAGCTTTGAGGACAAGGATGTCTGTTACTCATCTCTGCACCCTTGGCACTGGGCAGAGCCTGGCACACAGAAGGCACATGAGAGATGCTAGCAACCTCAAACTCCTGTGTTTTCAGTTTGAGACCAGCCTGAGCAAGAGGGAGACCCTGTCTCTACTGAACCAACTATTGTTGAAGGCTCACCTCCGCAAAGCCCACTGGGATCGGTCTCCTCACTGAGGCCCCAGACCCACCCCTCTGTATGTCCCTCCCTGGAATCAGGTGTCACAGCTTTAGACCCCTTATTTCAGGGCTGTGCTACCTGGGCACATAGTGCATCTCTAGCTAGACCGCAGTATCATCATGTAGTATGTGTTCAATAAGCACAAATGCATGTATGAACAAATGAATTTAAGCTTCCAAAAACACACAGGTCTCCATCTTTTTTTGTTGATAGTACCAAAAGCTACAACTTGTCTGGTCTGAGTTTTGATGATGTTTGCTTCAGGGAATTTCTGTTTACTCACAAGTTACTATCATCTCGGAAGAGCAGTTCTATAGTCTGAGCAATGAATGAAAGAAGGCTAGGTGCCGTGGCTCACACCTGTAATCCACGCCTGTAATCTTAGCACTCTGGGAGGCCAAGGCATGAGGATCACTGGAGGTCAGGAGTTCGAGACCAGCCTGAGCAAGAGTGGGACCCTATCTCTACTAAAAATAGAAAAAATTAGCTAGGTGTGGTGGTGGGCACCTGTAGTCCCAGCTACTTGGGAGGCTGAGGCAAGAGGATCACTTGAGCCCAGGAGTTTGAGGTTGCTGTGAGCCAGGCTGATGCTACAACACCCTAGCCTAGGAAACAGAGTAAGACTCTGTCTCAAAAAAAAAAAAGTGAAGAAATACTGTGAATATAAGAGGAAGATAAAAATGCGTGTAAGAAAATTAAATCTCCTTATATCCCAACATAATGGCTAAGGCAAGGTGGCCTTTGGCTGGGCTTCACTTAAGTAAAAGAAGAAATAAAAGCCTCACAGTTGTGCCACATGACATGAAATGAGAATGACAGGATGGTCTAGCAGAAACCAAGAAACAGCCAACAACCATCTCCTGCAGAGTCTTCATATCAGAAAAAGGAGTGTAGTCACAGAGCAAAAGGGCGAGATGTCTGGAGGCTTGGAGGTCAGCCACATTTCATCAGGCATTGAGTGTTAAATACAACTAAGATCAAAAGGCGGTAGATCCTAGTATTTGAATCTGCATCCTGAGTGATTGTGTTTAATTTGCAACACCTATAAAGCAGGGACGGCAATCCCTTGTTTTATGCGTAGCTGCTGTATTGCTGTATTGGTTTGGGCAGGTCTCCTGGAAGATGTTACCTTTGGGCACCTTGGCCCTCCATCTCTCCCGATTGATGTGCACCACCTCGGTCCAAGTGGCTTTAAAGCTCTTATAGTCAACTGGGATGACGGAATTGTTGATTGGCGCACTTCCCTCTGACCCAGAGCTCTTGACACCTGAGCGCTTTGCATCTGATGAGCTGATGCTGTTCAAACTGGAAGACAGAAAATCATACCAAAGAGGACAGTTAGTGTTGAATATATCTGCCAAGCAGCAAGCCCAGGAGAGGAGTGGTTAGCACGCATTGAGTTACCGCTGTGAAATTATCCTATTTTCCGTAGATAACAGGAGGGGAATTCTGTATTTTCAGCAGGAAAGTATCAACATCGCACCCTTCAGAATCTCAGTATTCCGCATGTATCTTCTGTGCTAATTGGCTGCTTCTTTTTTTTCCAATAACCAGAATCCCCTCATGCAAATTTTCCCTGTTCTAGTCTCTGAAATTGACTAATCTGAACTTGAATTTCTACTTGATTCAACAGTTCAACCACCTGCTTCAACACTGACCATTTTCCCAAGTTACCCAGAAACTTGATCCTCTTTCTCTCCAGCCCTACCAGTCCCCTGCACTCAGGGTCCCTCTGACCTCAGGGTCCCCCTGACCCCAGGGTCCCTAGGCCCGGGACAAGTGATGATTTCTTTATGTTGCCGAGAGAAGACAAAGAGGCACAGATGGCATGGAGACGGTGGGAGACTGAAGACCTAACTTTATGTGAATACATTATGCTTTAAGCCATGGGTGACTGTGAATATCATCCTTCTGGAAAAATATAAAGAAGTAACTCCTGCTCCCAGTGGTTGAAGCAGTGACTGACATGGATGCAACTTCACTAAATGACAATCAAAGCTTACTAGACAAACGGGGCATGTTTCAGCCAGCATAACTGAAGAGCTGTGGGGCCACAGGGACTCAGGCAGGGGGCTTTTGTCCCCCTCACTGGCAACCTCAAGAGGGTCAATCGACCTGGGCATCCCAGGAGACCCACTCCTACTCTTTGCTTCTCTTTGTCCTATTCATTCCATTTCTCTTCTTTCTCCTGTATGACAAAACCCAAGGTGTTGCATGGACAAGGAGGGGAGGAAGGTGGGTAGTAATAATGGTAGTAGCATGACTAATTAAGACTAAATGTTAGCTTTATTGTAGCTGGCACTTCCTTGCGCTAGGCCCTGTTCTGTGCGGTGTACATGTATTGAATAACTTATTTCACTTTCCCAGCAACCCACAAATGTTATAATCCACATCTGCTCAGATGAGGGAAGCGAGGCAATTTGCCTGATATTGCACAGCTAATAGTGACAGGGTCAGGATTTTTAACCCTGGCAACCGGACTTCAGAGCCTGTGTTCTTCGACTACTAATCTGTCCTTGATATAGTGATGTGGTGGCAGAAGGTGGGTTCAAACTTTCAGTCTTTTCTCTCTACTTCATTCTCTTGTCAAACCTAGAAACCGAAAGCAAGTCAGTTTCATTTCTTGTAAGAACCCTGATCAGTGGCCCTGTCTTTTTGGAGTATTAGAAGCAAGGATTCTCTGGGCACAGCAGGTAAAAGTGTAGTGACTGGTGCTGCCACAAGCAAAGGCCAGGAGAGAATGGGGTGTGGGGGAGGCTGGCCCCAGGTACTTGCTGGTCAGGATTCAGTCACCCCCTTTCAGGTCAGCTGGAGAGAACAGAGTACAACTCTATGTCCTCCAGGGGAAGGCAAGGGGCAGACAGACTGTCATGAGAAGGAGGTCAGGCAAACATCATTATGAAATACCACCCCCACCTCCCACAAAAGAATTCCATCCCCGCGGCCAGGCCAACCTCACCCCCAGGCCTCAAGCTTCTCCACTGACCTGGAACGCCTCTGTCCTGCCCCGCCAGTCTGGGAGGTTTCATCGATTAACGGACTCACGATCTTTTCGGTCATGTCCGTGAGCACGGTGAAGGTAGGTTCCACAATGAAATCGATAAAACCTAAAAAGAAACAGCAACGTTTCAGAGGAATGACGCATTAGCTCGGGCATTTCCTTTCTTCTAAAATTCGTCTACATAGTAGGCTCCAGATCAGTTTAGGAGAGAACGAGTTGATCTCACTCATTTAATATATTCCCTGATTGGAATATTATGAGTCACAGTTTCATTTCTCCTACATAACTTCCTATGACTTTTCAGCTGATAGTTCAATAAAGTGCTTCAAAAATACATATTCGACACCTGCTATGCAACAAGAACTGTGATAGGAACTGCATAGAAGACTGAGATTGAATAATATAACCTGCCTGTTTTCAAAGACTTTCTAGGAGAGATTGAAGGAGCACATGAATGGCCCCTGGAGTATATGGAAGGCCGGAAGAGAAGCCCAAATGAAAGCCCCTGGGAAGGTGGGGGAGGGAGGATATTTCCCCTGCACTGAGAGGCCTGTGAGCAACTTTGGGAGACTGTGATGTTTGAGTTGAGCCCTCAAGAATGAATGAGAGACTGGGGCTGTTCACCGTGGGTGGCAGTGCTGGAGTGAGGCCGGGATGGGAGAGTGGGTGGTGTCTGAGGAGTGACGAGGGCGGGTATAGGGATCCTTTTGGAGTTGGGGAACAAAAGCTTGGCAAGAGGTCACCAACAGCTCAGGGAGGGAGGCGCTTAACTGTCGGGCTAAGGGGTTGGGGACTTAGATGGGCACTGGCAGCCCCGGAGATGTCTGGGCAGCTTCGTCATAAAATTTCTAAAATGTTCTTGGGAACATTAATCTGGCAAGATGGATGGGAAGGGAGACAGCATGAGGGGATAAGGATGGGGAAATCATTTCAAAAGCTATTTGCAATTGCTCCAACAAAAGGTAAGGAAGGTGGGGACCGGGTGCCACTGTAAGGTGGGAATGCAAAGGAGGCTCAGATCCTGGGCAGGAGGAGGTAGCACTGGCTCTGGGTGGGGTCAGCCAGAAAGGCCAGCAGCAAAGCAGGGGAACAGAACATGGCTGGGGATAGGGGATGGGCTCAGCTACAGATCTGCTGACTTTTAGGCAGAGGGGACACATCCAGATGGGAAAGGACAAACAGAGTAGTACGAAACAGGGTTGGAAACTGGGAGACGGGTCAGACCTAGAACTATACTTTGTGAAATTGCCACGCCGGGGAGATAGATGGAGTCAGGCTACAGTGATTATCTCAACAGCTCAAAGACACCCAAAGGTTCTATGATACATCAGGTGAAAAATATGAGCTGGAGCTAATGAGGATAGGGTAATTCATTACGCAGCCACACGAAAGCTGGAAGGAGCTAAATACCAACCAAAGGAAATGCTGCCAAGTCCCCTCTCTCTGTAGTGGCTGTTTGGAAATGTACAAATGCATATTTGGTTTTCACAATGACTGAGGTGGGGTTGATAATGGTATTCAATGCTCGGCAGTGAAGGATGCTAAAAGTGCTACAATGTAATTGGCAAAACCAAGAATTGTCCCAACCAAATACCAATGATATCCTGAGAAGGAAACACTGGTAGCCAAGTTTGTATTACACTTAATTGCAGTATAATTTCAAACCAAAACTGAAGTGTTTGATGATATCATTTTTACCTTTTTTTTTCTCCCAAGTTCAACTAAACCACAACTAACTCATCAGCTCCCTGCTCACCTTTGTAAATAACGGACTATGGTCCAACCACTTAATCTAGATTGCTGCCTTTATTTTAGCTTTGCCTTTAGCCAAATCCTTAGCACTTTCAGTGCCACCTCTCCTCTGGACGGTCTCTGTTACTGCCTTAGTTCTGACATTCATCATCTCTTCTCTGTAATCCTGCAGTGGGCACACAACTGATTTCCTTGCCTCTAATCTTACTGAAAACCCTCCAATTAATCCTCCATGCTACTGGCAGAGATATCTTCCCAAACAGGTCTTGGCAAACTTTATCTGTAAAGGACCACATAGTTATTTTAGACTTTGCAGGCCATATCATCTCTATCAAAAATACTTAACTCTGCCACTGTAGTACAAAAGCACCCATAGACAATATGCAAATGAACAGGCTTAGCTGTGTTGTAATAAAACTTTATTTACAAGAACAGGTGGTGGGCCAGATTAAGCCCACAGGCTAAAACAAGAATTTACATATTTTTAACCTCACTTAAAATTCTTTAGATATGCCCTCATTTCCTACAGGAAAGGATAAACACATGCTATTCTTAACACAATAAAATCTGGGCCTGATATGTCCCTCACTGCATCCTACTTCCTACCCACTGCTCTTGCCATATGGAACTGTTTAGAATTCGCTGACCATACTAGGCAGTTTTTAAGTTTCCCTCCTTTGTATATGCCACATATCCTGCCTGGAATGCCCTTCCACCCATCCCTATGTCACCTCTAATACATATCACTATTTACCGCCCTAGATAAATCTACTCATTTCTTAGGACTAAATTCAAACATTGCCCCTCAATAAATCCAATATTAATAGTTTACACTATTAATGTTTGTACTCCATTGTACTATGTACAAAATTTTTCCTTAGTATTGAAAGATCCTAATGGATTTTTGTTTTTATAACATCTTTCCCACCACCCAATTATGGTTTAATATCTTTGAAAGCAGGTACCATGTATAATTTGTCTTTGTTTTTATAACATCTGCTATAGTGCCTAGCAGTACCCAACAGCCAACAGGGATTCAATATACATTATGAAGAAAAAAAAAGAATAAGCACTCCAAACACAAATAGAAAAATCAATACATCCTTATTGAATTTCTTTTTTCAATGAGTTCAGACTCTTCAAAGGTGGAGATCTCCCAATGACATTTAATTTATATAAGGCACTCGGACCCTCTGCCATAGCTGAGGATTTTGTAATGCATATACTACGGTTATTAGCAGTGTAAAAGTTACTCTTGCTCCCCAAAAAGTGCTTTTTTTAAAAAAAAGAAAGGAACGGAGACAGGGGAAAAGGGAGGAAGGAAGAGAGGAAGGAAGGAAGGAAGGAAGGAAGGAAGGAAGGAAGGAAGGAAGGAAGGAAGGACGCAAGGAAGGAAGGAAGGAAGGAGGAAGAAAGAAGGAGGAGGGAGGAGGCAGGTAGGTAGGAGGAAGGAAGGAGGAGGAGCAGTGTATATTTTAAAAGAGTCATTCCTAGAAGTAGGCTGATCCAGGAAACGGTGCTGTCCTGAAAAGAGAGCTAGACGCGTTCATCAGGAGAAACGCCATGGTGACTTCCAGTACTGCACACAGAATGGAGAGGCTGAAGTAGAATGGGCTTCCTGAAAACCATACTTGTTATCCCCTTGGAAAGTTGAGGCCCCTTTTTCTCTTAACAGGGAATGACAGAGGCACCAAAAGTGTCACTGTCTAATTCTTCATGAATGAGCCACATTTCAGTCAGAAGAATGAAGAGAGTGGCTCCCTCGACCTACTTAGGCAAAGCCATGAGCACAGCATGACAGAATGGAGCCGGTTTCTCAGCCAAAGAATCACTGAGAGCAGCTGAGCTCACTTCCCCAGGCATCCCACTCTGCTGCTTCCTTCCATCCACGGGGCTGGCAAGCACGTACCTACTTGTGACTGAGCAACCATAGTCGACTTGCGGTCACACAGAGGAGAAAAAGGCAGCCCCAGCTCCGCTTCTCTGTCACCCTAGTAAAACAGGACACCGCAGTAAATGAACACAGTAAAAGAACAGTAGGCTTAGCTGCCCAGATTTTATTTAACAACTTCAGCTGCCACGAAGGCCTCTCGTCTTTATTTTAATTATTACAATTATATTATGGAATAAGTCCTTATGGTGACTGCTTCTCTGCATAAAAGACACCAAGAGGCTGAAGCCCTCCAGGGTCCAATTGTTCCACGCAACTGCAAAGGCTCACGCTGTTGTAAAGAAAGCCTCGTTGGGCAGCAATAGGTCCCCCACGGAAAATAAGGCAACAAGCAATGTTTCTTGTGGACTGGAGCCAGCACTGTGGTCAAAATTTCTGTTTTCCCAAGTCGTCCTGTGCCAACCTCTGGCCTTTCTCTAGCTAGTGACGCCCTACCAGCTGTGGGCAGTGTCCAGGACTAAAATTCAAACTGAACTGATTCAGATTTATTCTAGTGCTAAAGCCACACACAATAGGAGTAAGTGCTTCCGGGTTCTTAACCCCAGGGGTCAGTCCATAATGAAAAGTGGACCCAAAAGAACAACAGTAAATAACTGCTCGCTTGTGTCCATCAGGTCAGACAACAATAAAACATGGTTGTCTGACCAATGTAGTCTCAATCTTGCCAAAAAGCATCACTAAAATAAACAAGTGCTATGGAAAGCCTAAATAATGATAGAGATGGTTTTCAAAAACTTGAACCAGAAGCTTAATGATTCAACCACACATACACCTAGAGGAAATATAAAAATCTATTACCCTCCCTGTAGAAGTGAGGCTGTGCTCATTCATGTCCCTGGCCCAGGATCCTGGCTACTGACTCGTGCTTTGAACCCTGCCTTTCTCCTACTGGATGTGTGGTTGACTATAAGAAGGTTATTTTCCTTCCTTACATTTCAATGTTAATACTTGTCAAATGTGGGATAATAACCTCTACTTCAGAGGCTTATAATGAGGAGGAAATGAGAAAAATGTATGTAAATAAATAAAAATAACTACTAACAGAACTATTATTGTTTCCCAATAAGTAGCTCTAATATTTAAGGTCAAGATTTGAGAAACATTTAGTGAATTTGTTACGTCTAACATAATCCGACTGTAATGAACATTGCCCATAAATTAATAAAAAATGAAAAGGTAATAACAGCCTGCAACCAGGCCTTGTTCAAAAATGGAATGCTTTTTCTTTCTAAGGCATGCTAGCTACCAAAGAGAAAGGATGCTAGCTCACACGCACGTTTAACATCAACTGAAAGGACGGAAAAGGAGTGGGCGTCTGAGGAAGCTGAGCAGTGGGGTCACAATGGGAGCTGGGGACATCCAAGGGTCTCAGGAACAGTCTTCAAGTGGCTCAGTTCCTTCTGCACCCTTTTCCTGTATCGACACCCACGGGACATAATAGCTTCTCTGTTCCTAGTACGCCCCACTCAGGACTGCTCTGTCTCTCAAGTGGCATGACAGAAACGATTTCCTCCTGAGTGGTTTCTACTCGGACAGCACGAAGATAAGGAGGCATATTTATAACATAAGTTCTAGTGGTGTAGGTGACTTAGTGGGATAGTTCAGCTAGAAGAAATATTAAATAAATCCCGTTTTTATTCCCCATGTAGCAAGGATACAAGTTGTTTTGTTGGTACATTTTAATGGGGCAGGGTGTGTGTGAATACTCTCCACTTGGCTATTAAGGTGTAAACATTAATTTGGATTTCATTCCTAAAAAAATGCCTGATATTAAACAACTTCTAATTCCATGAACTTGCCCATACCCAAATCGACATACAATTTATATCTCTTGTGTTCAATTGAGCTGAGTAGAATTGGTTATTAACAGCCTATTTTAAAACAGGGGTCGATGAATTACCTTTGGAGAACAGATACAATTATGAATTGGAAAAAAATGTGCTGAAAGTAATGTAGAGGAATGAACTTCTACTGGTGACTCCAACTTGACTGATAACACAGTATCGTATGACTCTGTATAGCTACTGACCCTTGTGGAATTATTTATATACTTTCCTCTTCATTGAAGAGGTCAACATTTTCAACAAAGGGCAAAAGCATCAGTTGTCACAAGGGATTTTTTTTTAACTAACTCATTTTTTTTTCCAGGACAGCTTAGAAAAATAAATATCATTCCTGTGGTAGAGGTTAAGATAACTCTAACTGATAAAGTCATGTAGTCGGTATGCAAAAGGAAGTTAATGAATATTGAGTGAATGAAAAGACAATAATTGGGTTAGAAGCACTCAAGTTCCTTTGGCCACTGGGACATTTATGACAGACAAGCTAGAGAGCAAGTAGGCAGGTAGCTGGTACCAAACCCCCATCCTTCTCCTCTTCCATTTCCTGTCCACACAGCTAGATTACGTTGTTTAGAATCACTGCCAGTTAGTGCTGGGTGATAGAACAAGAGCAGACGGGATGTGCTTCCAGCACAGTTCAGACCTGGAAAGTCTCCCATGCTTGCTCTTCTATGCTCTTCCCCCTTTTGCTGGCTTGATATAGACAAGCACCTGGGAGGCCAGATAGATGGCAGAGTCTGGTCTAAAGTCACTGCTCATTGAGGAACCACCTGCCAATCAAGGAACACTTGTACTTTACACGAGTGGGTGATAACTTCCATTTATGTGTGCTGTTACACGTGGGGGTTTGTTCATTACAGCAGCTGTATGTAAGCAGCAAGCCAGTCAAACGAAACAAGGGTCTTGTCTATATTGGAAGTTCACAGAGAAGATGACACCTGTCAATGTCAGAACTTCCGAAGACATTTAGGTAATATCTCAAGTGAGTCTTTTTAGGTGGAGTGAAGAGAAAGGAGACATTTGGGGAGGCAACAGGAGGATCAAGTTGAACAAAACACAGCGATGCACACTCCTCTGTCCCAGGGCAGGGAGGCACAAACATAAGGTATGAGAAAAGTATTATGATTTTGGATTTAAGATAGCATAGTAAAGTTTTAGCCCTTTCCTCTCTCAGAAATTATCACCTCAAAAATAAGAAGAATGAGGAACAGAAATGCAAACATAAAAACTGGGAAAAATCTGTAATCTCAAATCAAAGCTACATAAGGAAGGGCTGCCAAATGCTGTGAATATCAGATAGGGGTGAAGAAAGATGCCAAGAGGCTGGGTGGAGAACAGAGATTGTATTACGAGAAGCCCTGCAACTGCAGCCCACCATAGTCGTGGAAAAATTCTAACACACACACACACACACACACACACACACACACCACTTCACAGGATCCTCATAATAAACCAAGGACAATTCCAGATAGCTTAGAACACTACTACTCTGATTTCTGCCTCGTACAAATCTTCAAATAGTTGGTCCAAAAGAATGCATTTTGCTCAAAGATGGTAAATAATAACAACAAAGTGAAGAAGAAGGGGGAGAGGAGAAGGAGGAAGGGGGATGAAGTAAAGGAGAAGGAGAAAATGGTGGGGGAGAAGAAGAGGTAGGGAAAGAGAAAAAGAAGAAAAAGAAGAGGATGAGGAAGTACCAGCAGCAGCAGCAGAAACAGCAAAAACAAAACAAAACAAAACTCAAACAACAGATGGGGAACACTCATCAGAAAAATGGTGCCACCAAGTGATGACCAAACATATTGCTACTAACAGAAAGAAGCTCCTGAAATTATCAGGAACGAGGGCTCAAGGCAGCAAGACCTAGCAGGGCACAGGAAAGATATGGACAAGAAAACCAGAAGCATATAATTAACGAAGATCGCGCTGGAAGCAGTACACAGGAGAAATGTCCTTCATGAAAACACGTTAAGGGACATGTACGGCAGGAATGAAAAAAGCAGGCCAAACAGAGGGATAAAGAAAATGTTGAAGAAATACAACAGACATGGAAAAGAAAGAAAACAGAGGTGACATATGAATTATTATTTTCCATAAGTAAGATAAATAAAAGAATGGAAGACATCTAAAGATTTAATCAATGCAACTTGAATCTATAGAGGAAAAGACCAACCATGTCCCAAGAAAAGCCAATGCATAATAATCATTGAAACACAACCTAGAAATGTCACCAGGCTTTAAAAGAAAAGAAATAATCCATACGTTTTATATGTTTGAAATTTTCCATAATAAAAAGTTTTTTATATAAAAGAAATAATCCTTAAGGCACATATGCAAAAAGACTTATCATCTGTATGTGGAAATAATTCCAGCATGGCTTTATCCTCTCCAGGGCAACATTCAAGGGTGGAAGACATTTGGGTGACATCTGCAAAAGATCTCAAGGAGAGAAAGTTTGATCCAAAAATGTCATACCCAAGCAAACCTGACCCAAGTATGACAGCAGTAGAAAAACTTGCAAGCACACAGTAATGTGGTTTCCATGAGTGCTTCTAGAAGAAATCATGTGAAGAACAACTTTGGCCAACCAAAAGATGAATGGGTCAACCATGGCCAAAGTGCCAACACTGAGTAGGACCTAGACAAGACGAACAACTGGAGGATTATGTTTTGCCAGAATTATTTATTTTCTACCTTTCTGAGTCGCATTGTTTCAGGTTGTGCTTTTTGTAAACAGCATCTAGTACATGAAATAGAATACTCATTTTAAAAATCAGGACAACTTAGAAATATTGACAAATAGTGACTGAATGACAAATAGAAACAAGGAATGAGTTACATTATGAAAGGAAAGAGGGAAAGATGTTGAGGGGCAATACATAACACTGGCTTCCTTATCTTTTAGAGAGGGGGTAAAATATATCATTTAAATCTGATATATAAAGTAATAGAGCTGTATTTAAATAATAAAGGCACACACTAGAAGAACTAAGCAAGTTAATAAAACCACAGAAATCAGGTGTTGGGGAGGAGGTGGGAGAAAGTAGAAGTTTACTAATTTTTATAGCAAAGAAATAATAGAAATAAATGGAGGATTTAAAGTTTCCGTTATCAAGTTAACTAGAAAACCTAAGAACATAATATAAAACTTCCATATCATCAGAAGACACAAATATATAGCAAAGCAGATGGCACAGACAATATCAGTGAGCTATTTCTAAAAAAACATAAAAACAGAAAGTATAGTATAAAATACGATAGTACCTTAGCTCAAACGTTCTTGTCATTTCAATAGATTTAATAGGGCTGTTTTTGATTAATAATAGAAAAGAACCTTAGATAGAGTCATTAAAAAACTCAATTATATGCAGTGTTTAAGACACACACAAATCAAAGTGTCTCTGAAAAGTTAAAAGTAAAAAGCTATGCAAAGATGGGGTTATAGTCTTAATATGAGTCTAATTTGAATTCTAGAAAAAGTATTAGTTGATACAAAGAAGAGGGAGTTATAATGATAAAGGGTGCAATAAGCTCTGCTATGAAGATCTACAGTTATGAATATCCAAGAACCACATAGCATAGAACCAGCATTTCTGAAGCAAAAATTATTTCACACAAAAAGAGAAAATAAAAGAAATGGCTAGCAACCCATGATAGCTCAACTTTTTAAAAATGATATATAAAATACCCAAATGACATAAATAGGAAAGTAGAATGTACCTGATATTATTTTAATTCTATACCCTGCAAATAAACGTTTTCATGAGCCATAAACATTTACAAAAGTCAATTATATAGTAGGTGATATACAAATTTCAAAACAACAAAAATATCCTTTGATCAAATTTCAGTAGATACAGATTAATTAGAAAGCTATTAAGCAAAGAAAACTATCACTACAAAATTATAAACAAGGAAACAAACCCTTTAATCTGAAGCAACTCTTGGACAAAAGAGAGATCAATGCCAAAATTACAGAATATTTAGTAAAGAATGATTATGAACACACTGCAGATAAGGACTTATGAGATTCGTGGTAAAAAAAAAGTCAAACTCCTAGCTTTCTATTTTCTAATATTAAATAAGCAAAAATTTAAATAAATAAATTGAGCATCTAACTCAGAAAGTTAGAAAAAAAATAAACTCAACTAGAAGAAATGAATTAATAAGAATGAAAATACTAATTAAATCATTATAAAACAAAAAGGAAATAATAACACAACCAATAATTAGATAATTTCATAGATAAAAAGAGGGAAAACCCAATTCATGAAATAAAAATGGGGAAATAATCACAGACACAGAGGAAATTATAAGAATTGTAAGAGATATTTGCAAAATATAAAAATATACAATAATACAATGGCAATGAATCTCAAGGCTTTCACAAAAAGATGCATTTACCAAGGAGGCAAACTTATACTTCTTTAAAGTCAATATTTCATCAAAATCACTCTGAGGCAGTGGCTTGAATTTTGTAAAATATGGTTATCAAACTGAAGCTGTAACTTACTCTTTTAGAAAAGCATGGAAGGTCTGGTCCATCTGTACTGAGGCTATGCCCTTATTTTGAAATATAACTCAACTTTCCAAATGCAGTTTTTAAAAGGACTCCACAGCCCCATTGTGATTTCCCATTTGAACTGTCCAATTTAAAATCTATAGTTAAGAGCAGAGACAACATTTCTCTTGTGTGGGTTACTTATTATGGCTTATGGCATCTGGGTTAAAATATTAGGTCAATAAAAATAATTTACTGAATTATAATTACCAAAAAATAGTTCCAGTCTAGTGAGCTAACATTCCATTTCCAACAGGCAAGAAATTTGATATGGTTATTTTCACACTGCCTTCACATTTTCATTCAATTCAAGTATATGTGTATACAAACAAGGTTCCCTTTATGAGGAAAAAATGTTCACGTATTTACTAAGTAATTTATATTCACTCTCTCATAATTAAAAAAAAGGAATCACTTCAATACCTCAAACTTATATGAGTTAGCTATGCGCTATCATTTGGCAACAGACTGAATACTTCCAGCTGTAGGGGGTACTACTGTAAAAGTGCTATCAAAGAAAGCATATAACAAGGGGAGTGGATATTTGAAGAAAATCCTCTTACGACTATTAGAAAAACAGCTTTTGGAAAAATGGCTCAAAATGAACCCTTGATAAAGGATGAATTTGTGTAACTCTAGTTCCTTTGCAACACTGGACCCCCTTGAGAACTACTCTGGGAGGGCAAGGATGACATTGCAAAGAGAAATAACCATACGCTGAATAGGGTACCTGCTGGCATGTGCATGTAACAGCTTGGGTGTGTGCAGGTGTAGGCGGACATCTGTAGGACAGAGTGAAGGAAATGTAGGGCATGTAAAGCTGAAAAGGTCTTAAGAAAACATCTGGTGCAACCTTACCTACATCCTTCCCCACCACACACACACAAAAGCAAATCATAGATAAGACCACAGGGAATGAGAGGGGTGATCTGATTAGACCTAGGCCAAAAACTAGTTGGAATAAAATCTCCAATAATAGCCTTCTGGCTTTAGTTTAATATGCTATTAACTCTAGTCCTACTTTATGACCAGAGTGTACAGGTTCAGGAGGAAACATACACACACACACACACACACACACACACACACACACACACACACACACACACACGAGTTCTATAATTTTTCCATTCAAACTAGAATCTAAGAGTAAGAATAATCACAGAAGTAATCTTCTTCCAAAAATCTAAGTTATATGATTTATTAACCAGCAAAAGATCCTAGCTCTTGTCAGTTTGAGGGCCTAAGTTGAGACTAGTGTTTATAAGCAGTATTTTACGGGAACCTTAGAGGTCTCTGAATCCATGCTGTTAACCTCCCTTCTCAAATTAATAAGAACTGAATTAACTGTAATTTAGATCCCCAAATCTACATATCATGCCTTCAAACTCAGGCCAGCATGTCTGGAAGCAGCAGATGTCTGAATGGCAGTTCTGGAGATGAGGTTAGTGCACGTGACTGAATTTGAGAAGACTTTAGTCTTAGTGCCATGCATTTATTTCCCTTTTAGTTTCTCTACTTCTATGTATGGTTTTTGTGTATTTGTTTAAAAGCAATGCACACTTATTAAAGACTCCGTCTACTCTTATAGATAACACAACACTGAATTTTAGGATGCAGTTAAGTATAAATATAATTGAAACAGTAGTTGCTAGTGATTTTCTCACCCCAAATTGCCACACCTCGTTTTGGAATTTCACAGCATGGGCTTGTCCACTCAAATGAAACTCAATCAATTATAACAGAGAGATGAATTCAACATCAATATCTTAATCCCACAGGGCAATGCCACAGTAACTGCCATTTTGTCAACTTAGTAGAAAAGAAGCAAAATAGTAAAAGACACCTCAAATGACATTTTGACAAAAGATTGCCACGAGGAAATGTTTTTCTTTTTTCCCAACAGAAATGCACAGGATAGAAATACCATGTTCTGAGAATTAGCATTTAGGTAAGATTCAAACATTACATAATCAGAAAGCCAAAAAAAGCTGTGGAACCCTCCCTCCCCCAAGAAAATTGCTGTGATCTTAATAGTCCTTATCATAGTGTTGCTGATAGGAAAATTTATAAAATATTCAGTGACCACAGCCCTGACGGACAGTAGAGCAACAAGGTACCTGTCTGAAGAACTCCTCCAGGAGCGACATTGTCCAGCGATGATGGAGGTCCCACGCTTTTGCAGGATGGCTAATATCTGCCGTGTGCAGCATGAGGGATAAGGCTTTTGGCTTTTCAATTCTGCAAACCACAAAGCACCCAAATGCATAATGACCACATTCTCCAGAACCTCAGTAAGAGTTTTTAAAAAATCATTAATTTCTTTAATCCATTCCATTCTCCTGTCTCACGCTCCACTTCAGCTAAACTGAGGAAAAGGCATAATTTCATCCTGCGACCGGGATATTCGTCAGCGTGGTCTCTACGCTTATTGCACTGGACTCTTCCGACTCAAACCCATTTCTGAAATGACTGCATCGTTCGAAAAGACAACAGGAATCTAAGAATCACTGACTTTTATTTGCTGTCTCTGCATTAAGTGGATCCTTGATAACCTAGTTTCCCACAGGGAAATATTTTAAATTCTAACTGAGGAAAACTGTTAACTGGCTCCATTATTTATTTCAGCCCCCATGAGAACATACCTAATTGTGACATATACAATTTTCATGCTCTTTCCCCCAAACATCACCATTCATGAAACCACTCAATGAAGTTATGTTGAAGGGGATGTGTTTCAAAGGTACAATGGCTTGGACAAGCACCAGTTCAAACACTTATGCAAATGCAGATGTCACAGGCCCACTTACGCTTCTGGCTGCTGCAGAGCAGTCTTCATGGCTTTGATTTGTTGAAAGTGACAAGACATATCTGTGGCCATCACCATCTCAATTACCAAGGTTCGGAACTCCCTTTTAGGAACACCCGTGGAGAAAAAAGGTGGAAGTGAAAAATGGAAAGTAAAAATTAGTTTATTTTTTTGCCACTTCTAATCGAAGTCAGTTAATTATTTCTGACATATCTAATCTAATTTGAATCTTTTAGGTGAGCTTGTTTTTATAAGGAATAAATGAAGGTTAAGGACTAAGGAAACCATTTATTAGGAATGTGATACATGGGATATACATATAATTTGGAAAATTAACTCACACAGGAAAATTCCAGTCAAAGTGAAAAGTGTACGAAAACTCTTCCTTCTCAACTGGATTCAGAGTTTTAAGAAAGAATTAACTTGAAAACAATCGTAGGAGGTAGGCTGATAGTCCATAAATCCACTTTGGGTATAGGTGTTCCATCTTTTTTTAAAAAATAGACTGTATTTTCTAGAACAGTTTTAGGTTTACAGAAATACTGAGCAGATAGTATAGAGAGTTCCCAGATAAACCCTCTCTATCTGCACAGGTTTTCTTATTTTTCACATCTTGCATTAATGTGGTGAATTTTTTACAATTGATAAACCAATACTGATACATTATAGTAACTACAATCCATAGTTTACATTGTCCCATGTTGCACAGTTCTACTGGTTTTGACAAATGCATAACGGCATGTATCTACCACTACAGTATCATATGGAACAATTCCAGCACCCTAAAATCCCCTGTGCACCCCCTATTCACCCTCTCTCCCTTCCCCCAAACCCTGCCAACCACTGATCTTTTTGCTGTCTCTAACAACTTTACTGAAGTATAATTTACATAGAATAAATTGTTCCCATATAAATTGTACAATTCAATGAGTTTTAACAATTGAATAAGCTTTTAAAAATACCACTGCAATCATGATACCAAATATTTCTATCATCCTCAAACCAAGCCCTAGGCAAACTCTGATCTGTTTGCCTCTCTAGAATATTTTGCATTTTCTAGTTTTATATACATATATACGTGTATGTGTAGGTATATAGGTGCACATACATATATAATATATATTAAAGTAGACACTAGATATATACACACGTATGTTCCCATGTGTGTACACACACACATATAAAATGCAAAATGTACTTGTTTCTGACTTCCTTTACTCAGCATAGTGAGTCTTGATCTGCTCATGTGGTAGTTCATCGACAGTTCATTCTCTTTTATTGCTGAGTGTGTTCTATTCTGTGTGTTTACCACAATTTGTTATCCATTTACCAGATGATGGACATTAGAGTTATTAGATTCTAGTTTGGGGCTATTGTGATTAAAGCTGCTATGAGCATTCATGCACAGGTCTTTGTGTGGATGTATGTTTTCATTTCTCTGGGGAAAACACCTAGAAGTAGAACATCTGGTTTACAAGATAGCTGAGTGTTTAACTTTATAAGAAACTGCCAAACATTTTTCATAGTAGTCGTATCAGTTTTTATTTTGACCACCAGTATATGAAGTTTCTAGTTTTTCTTTGCCTAGTCTTGTCAACTTCTAATTTCAGCCATTCTTCTGATGGATGATGGATGAGTAATGGCATCTCACTATGGTTTTAATTTGCATTTCTTTGATGACTGCTGATGTCAGGCACCCACCTTTTCATGTCCTTATGTATATCTATTTTTTAGGAAAATGTTGTTTCAAAACTTTCCCTTTTTAAAATCAGCTTGTTTGTCTTCTTATTGAGTTGTAAAAGTACGTTATACAGTCTACATACAAACCCTATGTAAGATATTAGTATATGTGTTGTAAATAATTTCTCCAATTTCTTGACTTGCTTCCCCCCCAATGTCTTCCAAAGAGCATAAGGTTTTAATTTTAATAAAGTTAAATTCATCATTTTTAAAAATGCTTCCTGCTTTTTATGTCCTGGGATATTGCCACCTACCCACAAGGACTTTGCTGTTTTCCTCTGAAGTCTTGCCCTTTTAGCTTTTATGTTTAAGTCTACAACCAATTTTGAGTTAATTTTTAAGTATGGTGTGAGATAAGGGTCAAAGTTATTCTTTTCCATATGGATATCCAATTGTTCCAACACTATTTGTTGAAAATATTTTCCTAACCCCATTGAATTGAGTAGGCATCTTTGCCATAAATCAACTGATGAGTCAATTTCAAAACTTTCAGTTCTGTTCCATGGATTTGTATGTCTATCTTTTCGCCAATAAAATACTGTCATGATTACTGTAACTTAATAGTTTGCTTTGAAGTCAAGTAGTGTGAGACCTTTAACCTTGCTCTTTTTTATTACAAAAATTATTTGGGTTTATATTTCTATGTACATTTTTTAATAACTTTGGCAATTTCTAACATCATTCTGCCAGAATTTTGATTGGGGTTATATTGAATCTATGATAAATTTTGGAAGATTTTGATAGCTTTACAATAGTAAGTCTTCCACTACATGATGACAGCATATCTCTTAATTTATTTAGGTCCTCTTTAATCAGAAATTTTCTGTAGTTAGTAATGAAAAAAAGTTGCACTTTTTTTTTTAAAAAAAATTATTAAGTGTTTTTTAATTTTTGTAGTATTATAAAGGAATTTTTAAATTTCATTTTCCAATGGTTTATTGCTAGTCTATAATTTTTTTTACACCAACCTTGTAGTCTGTGACCTTGCAAGATTCATCGCCAGTTCTAGTAGCTGCTTTATAGATTCTTAGGATTTTCTACTTAGACAATCAAGTTATCTGCTAATATAGACATCTACCAATGTTGATGAAAGTAAGAACAGGCATCCTTGTCTTGTTCCCAGTCTTAGGGGAAAAGTGTTCAATATTTCACCATTAAGCTTGATGTTAGCTATAGACTTTTCACAGGCGCTCTTTACCTAGTTGAGGACATTCCCTTCTGTTTCCAGTTTGCTGAGAGTTTTTACATGAATGAGTGATGACTATATACTTTTCTCTTTTTCTTAAAACATAGTGAATTATTTTTATTATTTTTTGAATACTGAATTAACCTTGCATTCCTAGGATAAACCCTACATATTAGACTGAATTCTCCAGAGAAACCAATAGGAAATATACATATAGAGAAACAGATTTATTACAAGGAATTGGCTCCTGTAATTATAGACATTGACAAGTCCCAAGATCTGCAGGGTGAGTCAGCAAGTTGGAGATCCAGGAGAGATGATGGTGTTGTTCCAGTACAAAGACCAGCAGGCTCAACCCCCAGGAAAAGCCTGTATTTTAGTTCAAAGACAGGCAGAAAGAATTCTCTCTTCTCAAGGGAGGGTCGGAATTTTTGTTCTATTTAGGCCTTAGACTGATTTGCAAGAGGCCCATTCATATAAGGAAGGGCAATCTGTTTTATTCAGTCATCTATATATATGCTAATCTCATCCAAAAATACCCTCATAGAACCATCCAGAAAAAAATTCAACCAAATATCTGGACATAGTGTGGCCCAGTCAAGTTGACACATAAAACTAACCATCACACCCTGCCTGGTCATGATGTACACTTTTTATATACTGTTATATTCAAATTGTTAATATGTTATGAAGGATTGTTGTATCTATGTTCATGAGGCATATTGGTCTCTAATATTCATTTTTGAGATGTTTTTGTCAAGGTACGGTATCAAAATTATGTCTCATAAAACAAATTGAAAAACATTTCTTCCTTCTCCACTTTCTAAATAAATATGCATAAGATTCATATATTTCTTCTTTGTGTATTTCATAGAATTCACCAGTGAAAGCATCCAAGCTTGGAGATTTCTTTGTGGAAATGACAAATTCCATTTCTTTAATAGACATGGTATTAGTCAGATTTTCTGTTTCATCTTGTATGAGTTTTGGTAAGTTGTACTTTTTAAGGAATTTGTCCATTTCATCAAGGTTGTAAAATTAGTTGAGATAAAAAGTCGTTTGTAATATTTCCTTATGCATTTGATATCTATAGGATCTGACGTTGGTGATTTGTATTCTCTCCCTTTTTTACTGATCAGTTGACTTAGAGGTTTACCAATTTTGTTGCTTTTTTCAAAGAGATAGATTTTAGCATTGTCAATTTTTTGCTATTGTTTGTTTTCTATTTTGTTGATTTCTTCACTTATCATTACTAATTCCTTCCTTCTACCTACCTTGAGTTTACTTTACTCTTCTTTTTCTAGCTTCCTGAAGTCATTATGTTTGGATTTTTTCTTCCATACTAATACATGCATTTATAGCTATAAATTTCCCCTAAACTCTGCTTTAATGGTATTCAACAAATTTGTAATATGTGACATTCTCATTTTCATTAAATTTGAACTATTTTCTAGTTTCCTCTTTGATTAACTTTTTGACTTATGAATTATTTAGAAGTGTGTTGGTTAATCTTCAAACATTTGGCTTTCCTAAATATCTTATTCTTATTTATTTCTAATTTAAATCCATTGTCGTCAAAAAACATACTATTTAAGCTTGTAATATTTTTTTGAAAAAATGTTTTAACAGGCTGGGCACATTGGCTCATGCCTGTAACCCTAGCACTCTGGGAGGCCGAGACAGAGGGATCACTTTAGCTTAGGAGTTCAAGAACAGCCTGGGTAAGAGCGAGACCCCATCTCTAAAAAAAATAAATTAATTAATAAATAAATATTTTTTAAAATAGGAATTTTTTAAATTTCCTTCTAAATCTCTTCATGACCCACTGGTCATTTGGGAGCATATTGTTGAATTTCCATGTGTTTGTATAGTTTCCAGTATTCTTCTTATTATTGATTTCTAGTTTTATTCCATTGTGGTCAGAGAAAATACTTGGTATAATTTCAATTTTTTTTGAATTTTTAAAACTTGTTTTGTGGCCTAACATATGGTCTATCCTTGAGAACAATCTATGAGCCGAGGAGAAGAACATGCATCTGCAGCTGTCGGGTAAAATGTTCTATAAATATTTACTACATTACAGTGTGGATTAAGTCCAATGTTTCTTTGTTGATGCTCTGCCTGGATGATCTGTCCAATGCTGAAAGTAGAGTGTCGAGGTCTCCAACGATTATTATATTGGAGTCTATCTTTCTCTCTGTTTTTTACTCATTCATTATTTTATCATATGATTAAAGAAAGAGGGCTTTCTCATTCTTCCTTTTTCTCCTTTAAATGTCTTATGTTGTTTCAAGTCACTAAGTTTGCGGAACTAGTGCAGTGATTAACAATGTAAATACATGTGAAGAATAAAAAGAAATTAGAGAATGAGAATTTAATAATAAATTATGATAGCCTGGGGTACTGAAACTATAATGTCCACATGAGAAGGCGAGGGGTTAATAGTCACTTGATTCTCCTTTGGCCCTCTAGGCTGCATTTAACAAGTGCCCGGTGGAGAAGCACCTTCCGAGGATACCCAGGGGAGGAGAAGTCCTGTGTTCTCCTGGAGCTCACAGCGTGTAAGCCTGGGTTGCGGTTGAGCTATTGAGGCTTAGGCTGCTGAAGAGTTACTATAACATTATTGTTGAGTTTATTACTGTTTTACTTTACTTCTTTGGTAAAGATTTATGGATAAATTAATTGTTTTCTTTTTCTTTTTTCTGCTATGGCCTCATCAGGAAAGAAATATCTTCTTTTTTCCTTCCTCATTAACACTAACAAATACACTCTATGCTTCTCCACCAGCTCCAGTACTCCAAAAAAAAAAAAAAAAAAAAAAAGCAGTGAGACATTTCTCACTCTGGAAGCTGTTTGACTACAGGAGAGAGGAAAATAGTATTTTTTACATAAGTTTCAAAATGAGAAAGCCACCAAGTAGGAACAGTTGGAGACTGTGGTTATCAGAGAAGTGGGTAGCATGGTTCTGAGGGAGTTTAACCCCTAGAAAAGCAGCAGGAGAGGGAGGACCAGGCAGGTCCTCCAAGGGCTCCAAGTCACGGATATCTGCACACTCTTAATACACAGCACCCCGCAAGTGGACAGATGTCGGAGGGAAACAGCTGTACGAATGCCCACGAAGACTAAACTCTGTGAAAGGAACTCGCTTCAGATTATGATGAAATTAGAATCTGTGAGGGCATCCTTTATCTGTGCTTGGCACCAAGGAGAAAAAGTAGACCGTGGGACATGAGTTTTTCCCCCTCTTTTTCGCTCAAAAAGGAAAACCTACATGATTTACAGAGTAACGAGTCAGATTAACATACGGCTGATTAGATCATTTGCAATTTTAATGAAAAATTCTGTTTCTTACAACGCATATTTTATACATAGAATGAGCAATGTATGTTTTATGTGCTCTTAAGGTGATAGTTACCTCTCAGAGTGATTACATAGCACTTGAGTACTTAATGAAAGGATGTTCTAGGAGAAATTTGTGATAAATAGCTCCAGAAAAACCTGTGAATATCTCAGGGAGCTTCTTGTTTCTTCTTAAATGAAACCAGAAACAGTTACTGTATGCATTTAAATTTCCTGCTCTCAGAGCATCTTGTGCTCTTAAAGTCACTGGATTATAAAAGTTCTCCAACCTCTTTTCACTTACCTTACTAAGGATAAAAATGCCAGCTCTACATATTGAAAATACAAAGAGCTGACCACAATAGAAATCTTTTTTTTAATTTTTAATTTTTTTATTTCAGTATATTATGGGGGTGCAGGTGTTTGGGTTGCATATGTTGCCTTTGCCCCACCCAAGTCGGAGCTTCAAGTGTGTCCATCCCCCAGACAGTGTGCACTGCACCCAAAAAAAATGTCTTTGATATGTCCTATCTTATGGTAAATACCACTAAACTTCACACTCTAAATGCTAGTTGAGGTCACAAATGCAATGACCATCTATAAACAAAATATCAGTGAAGTTGGAATTTATTTATTTATTTATTTTCTATCTCTCTCTTTACCTCTGATAACATTCACTTTATATATCTGGGTGCTGCAGTGTTGGGTACATATATATTTAGAATTATTATGTCCTCTTGATGAAATGATCTCTTTATCATCTTATAATGACTTTGTCTTTTTTACAGTTTTTGTCTTGAAATCTATTTTATCTGATACAAAAATAGCTATTGCTGTTCTTTTTTGGATTTCATTCACATGGACTATCTTTTTCCATCCCTTTATTTTCAGTTGTATGTGTGTCGTTATAGGAGAAGTGGGTTTCTTGCAGACAACATCCAAGGTATAGTTGTCTCTTATTGCTTTATCCATTCAGTTAATCTATGTCTTTTGATTGGAGAGTTTAGTCCATTCACATTCAATGTTGTTATTGATAGGTAAGGACTTACTACTGCCATATTGTTATTTTATTTTTGGTTGTTTTGTGGTCCTCTTTTCCTTTCTTCCCTCCTGTCTTCCTTTGTTAAAAGTGATTTTCTCTGGTACAGTATTTTACTGTCTTGCATTTTATTTTTTGTGTATCAATTGTAGGTGTTTTGATTTGAGGTAACCATGAGGATTGCAGAAAACATTTTATAACCAATTATTTTAAACATATGGCAACTCTGATTATAAACAAACATAGGCTACAGCAATAAAGAAGTTTCCACTGAATTAAGATGTTTCAATATCTGAGTACTTCATGATTTCACTCTCTCTTTGAGATAATATTTTTACTTCTTTTCTCTCTTCGAGATGATAAAGATAATGCTGAATAAGAAGCACAAATATATAAGGCTAGCACATAAACAGATTTCACTGTATTTTCAACTGATTAGTTTGACCATTGTTTTATACTAAATTCACCTAAGTTTTTCTGAGTCATTCAATTTTATAACTCATTGTAATCAGAGGTAATATTCAAATTATTCACAGCTAGAAGTTTGGGAATAACCCCCAATCAGAATGCAGGGCTAAAGATAAACAGCAAGGGTAGTTGCATTGGTATGTACCAATGTGTTCCAGCATGAATTGATATGTTCCAGTTTACTCCAGGTGGTTATGGGTTTAGGTACTTCCCACACCAGCCTCATTACCCTAGCTGTAGAATGAAAGAGTGAATGAAGTTCATGATTGCATGGGGACTCTTAGCCACTCATATTGAAAATGAGTTTCTCGAATGTATTGTTCGCTATGACTTATTTCTCTGAATCCTTGAGAATAGTGAGCACATACTCGATACAAAGCTGATCGTTTAATTAAAACAGAAGGACTATATGAGTCACACTGGATTCTGAACTTTGCAAGAATTTAGATGTTTTTGTTTACAAGCTTTGAAACACCTTGACTTAAATTTATACCTACAATGATTTACAGGCTTCCTATATGTGCCACGAAGTATGCAAGCATTCTAAATGGATGATGTCATTATTATCATTCTAACCCCACTGCAGGGTAAATGTTATCTATTTTCTAGAAATTAAATTTTTTAAAGTTATAAAGAGTTTGAGTTCCTCAGTGTCATAAAGCTAGTAAGTGACTGAGTCCATGTTCAAACCCAGGTGTCCCTAAATTCAAAGACACACAATGTCATTTAGGTAATAGAATTCAGTACCCATGATTTTGTTTTTAAAGCGTCAAAATAATTTTCTTGGAAAATCTCAAAAGATTGTTAAGAAGTCCAAATAAATATAAGTGAAAAACAAATGTCAAATCATAAAATTCAGATTTAAGAAGCTCAGATAAAAGCAACACATGTTTCCTAAGGTAATAAACAACGAATATTTCCAAACTGTCCTCAATTGGACATTGTTAAAAGAGGCTTTTGAAACTTTCTTCCTTGAGAATGTTTAGCACAATACTGAATTATTTGACTCAAACTGGTTTCATTTACCTTTTCATTAATAGAAAAGCAACATAAAGCTAGCAAAATAAAGTAGCTGAAACCTAATCATAACATTCTATAGCCTTTATTTATAAATTTGAATATTTATGTCAATACGAAATATATATATAGAGAAATCTTTCTCATACACAGACAGAATGAGCAAGCAAGAGAAAGAATGAGAGAGAGAGAGAGACAGAGAGAGAGAGAGAGAGAGAGAGAGAGAGAGAAAATGCTAATAAAAAATTTAAACAAGGCATTATCGCCTCAAAAGCACCATATTCATTTATCTTCACAGTTCCTTCCCTGGCCTCCAAGTGTCTCTCCCGTCTCATCCTTACCTCCAGTCATCCTTTGAGAGGTTGACCAAAATATTCATTTCCTCGTCCTCTTGTAGGAGGCGATAGGCTGCGCTCAAATGGTGATTTTCCAGTACAGATCTATCGTTGTACAGAATAGCCGGATCAGACCTGAACAAAAAGCCAAGCAAAACTGAGCATGTTCAACAGTTCAGATTTCTCCCCATACCTCTCACAGGTAAGACTGCACTGCCACTTTTTCCTATGTTTAGAAATTATCTTTGCCTCCGTGCCATTTATATGAACCAAATGCTCAACCAATACTATAAAGCAAAAAGCAAAAAGACAATGAATGTGAAGACTTTAAAATACTATAAATCATCAACAGTTGGACGTAGGATATTTTACTATGAACACATATGTGGGTGGGAAATATGTGACATCCAGCCTGAGAACTCTCTGAAAACTGTTTTATAACAAGATATCAATTACCTATACTAGTAGCAAAACACATTTTTCAGAATGTGGGTCACATCAGATTTCCTTATATTTTCTGGAATGGTGTTAATTTTTTATTTTTATTTCATTCAGTGAACACATTGGTTTATTTATTTCAGGTGTAATTTGTGGAACTCATACCACCTGGTAGGTACTATCTACAAGCTGCCTTTGATCTTGCCCTTAAATTTTTCTATGCAAAACCCACATGTGGAAGGAAGACTGAGAGTAAAGAATATGAAGATTGTATGTCAGTGGTTAGTCCCTGTATCAGAGACTGTTCTATAACCAAATGTCACCAAACACAAGGCTGTATGCTATTTTAATACCTTCAATTTAATGAAAGCATAGATTATTAGAGCTTATCTGTTTCTCATCAAGGAAGCTTAGTTCCAGAGGTTTAAAGTGACTTCTACAGGTCTTCTGACAGGCCAGTGCTCCTCAAGATAGCTTCCACCTGTTATTGGCCAAACTTTGGGATGTACTTCACATACCTTCAAAGTGTGTTAGGCTTAAAATTTTATCCATCAAAGGATAAAAGACCTAGTCACAGACTTAGTTTTCTGCACATGGATCACATGGGCTGAAATGTTTTGGATAAAGTTCTGTTGAAGAGGGCCAATGTTTAAATTTCATTCCAAATCAAGCCTAACTACACTCACTGGAATTTTCCCACTTCTACAGAGATAACACAAAACATGCAAATCCCAAAGTAAAGATCTGCTCTTATATCTGGTGAGTAAATTAGGTACCAACTGATGGGTATTTTGTGAGTGACAATAACCTATTTTCCAACTCCAGTAATTAAGCTGTTTTCCTCTAAGTTGTGACTGGTTAGGACACTAGTCTCCAGGCAAGATCCACATACAGTTGTTCCACCCACCTCTCCTCCTTCAGCAGGTGCTATCACCTCAGTTTCTGCTCAAAAAAAAAAAGGTTCCACCCACAGACACACATTAAAGAGTCCTTATCTATGGAATTCCCTCTGTTAAAGACCTTGAAACAGAACCACAAAAGGCTGCTTCCAGCAGCTGAGACTACTCTAAGTGAGGAGGCAGGAAGGAGGAACCAAAACCAGTAGCTTAAGTCCTTTTGTCTGCTTCCATTCCATTGAAATTCCCCTTCTGAGCAGAGATCAGACGATATTGTCTTCTTTTGTGTACCCTGTAATTAAGTGTTGAGTTCATTAAATACATGTAGATCAATTTAATGAACACAAACCTATCTGGAGTGTGCACCTGCTTTTTCAAGTGAAATCAGCAAGTATTTACTTGGTGTTAGACTCCCATCCCTCCCTACTACATTCTTTCTCTTTGCCTGGAGACCAGTATCAGAACCAGTCACCACTCAAGAGGAAAATGGCTTAATTACAGGAGTTAGAAGTGCCACCTTTCCCCAAATCCTAGCTTCTTTCCATTCATATGTCAAGGCTCAATTAACCCTATTGTCAGATTCTTTCCAGTTCCACATAATTGTCTCGGAGACAGTAAGTTCTTAGACCAGGAGAGGGCATACAAAGCTTCATCCTAAGGAGAAATGACAACTGACTGGTGCTGCTTGCCTGGAATTCTCTGTTGGGAGAAGTACTAGGGATAAATCCATGACTTAGCAAGGAAAAAATACCAAAATCAATTAGTGATGTCTGTTACAAGTCAGAGGGCTCAGAGTGGACACTTGGACCCATATTTATGTCCCCAACAGAGATTTGTGTACTTGTGTGCAGTTCATTTGGAAGGGTGCACAGGTTGCTTATAGTGAAGGTGGCCTAGAAGAGACAATCTAACTCCCCGGCCCTTCTGCCAGGGAGTAATGCAAGCACTGAGCAAAGCAGGTATGAATGAAATTAGAAAGGATGAAAAGAGCATTTCATGAGAATCCCAGAGGTCAGATGGTAAGAAGGCTCAATTACCATTAATGTCAACAGAAACACTCCAATCATCACTGTCCTTGTTGATTTAGTTTATGTGGCATCTGGGTCTCTATGTAAA